CCCCAAAACCCCAAAACCCCAAAACCCCTAATATTCATATATAATTGGAAAATATGAATCTTTCTATTTAAAAGATATCATGTTTCTTTAAACTCCCCAGTGCAGCAAAAGACTGAGGATTAACTAAGATTTTGATTCCAACAATACATAAACCCATTAAAGCTACAAAAATAATAATTCAAAGTTTGCTCTAGTCTTCTAAACACTTATCCTAAATTTATCTTTCTTACTCTACAAGTTTAAAATAATTAAAATCACACTATAAATTCTCTCTCTTGAAAACTCTGTCATAATTATCCCCATTTCCAAACATTTCCCAAAAATTAGATTTCTTGTGAATACTTCTATACCAACACATAAACATCCAAAACCCTAAAAACACCTACATTAGTAATCACAACAACTCTTTCCCTAATTTCTGCTTGCTCTCACTTACCCCTCCCAAATCCCACAACCCAAGTTCCTAAAACCTCCTCCAAAAGCACCAATAGTTTCTATCACCCATTCAGAGATTTCTGAATACTAGCGTTAAGGCGGTTTTGGCCTTGGCGAAAGCAGAGACCTATTTGTATAACAGTCTTACTGATAGTGAGACTAAAGTTGATTCTGAGGTGAGCGATTCTATGACTAAAAGTTAACTAACAAAATGAAAACACGAATTACAAACTACTATTGGCCTGGATAGAGTGAAGAGTTTAAATTATCAACTAAAAATATTGATCTTGGAATAGAGGACAAAAGCGATCTAGGTCTGGTTATTCAAGAAGAGAGCGGCCAGATCTTACCTGGAGTGTATAGCTGAGCAAAATCAGGCTGATTATATGTCTAACTGTTGAATCATTATGAAATAAGTAGTAAAGCGAGCAAGGAAATTTATTATAAATATCGGGGTCTCTACCTACCTTATAACAAAGACATTCTCCCTCTTGGCGCATCCTGGAAAGGAGGAGATGCACTTTAGGATCCCTCGGCTATGGAATCCATCAATGTGGAAGATAGAGCTGGAATTGCATATTTCCACTACATCAAAAGACTCTTTATTAAACAGAAATCTTCTCTGCTCAAATTTAGTAACGAATTAATATGACAACAATAAAGGCCTTCGAAAGGAGCTCCTCAAGTATTCAGGAAATAAAGTCAAGAAAAGTAAGAGGGTCATTTATGGTAATCAAGAAGCATATCGAGGCTATCGAAGCATTCATGGAGGAGCACCAGAGAGCGCATATATCAGTGGGTCAACTAGCAAAAAAAATTGATTAAATAGCCAACAGGATCAAGCACTCAGGAAATCTAATCAGCAGAAGATGACTGCATGGGACTTTTAGGTTGTGAGGAATTTGGAAAGGAGGTAGGCACCAAGAGGCTTCAAGGCTGGAAGAGTCTTGGGATTGGAAAATATGTTGTTTAGGAGGATTCTAAGGAAGACTAGGGTTGAATTGTTATGAGGTTTAGAAATTTTAAGGGATTTTTGGAAGGAGAAATTTAGAAAGAAGATGTTAATGTAGGGTAAATTAATAAATCTCTCAAATTTTAATGCCACCAATGCTGCTTGACTCAATTCTATCTAAAGCCTCTATTTCCTTCAATTTTTACATGAAATCTTAGAATTAAAAAATTTAATTTTAAAATCTCAGCAAAACAACCTCTTAAAAATCATTAAAGTTAAAACCCAAAATAAAAGCTTTGATTTCAACAATAAAGAAGATTTTATTTTAATCCGTAGTCTTCTCTCCATTCATCATACTCTGATTGATCAAATTTAGGAGGACTCATCTTCAAGATAAACTCTTCTAGTTCATTAAATGATATTTCTGGAATTTGGAGGTTGTCTACTTCTTTCTCAAATAAATTTAAATCACTCTTTAACAAGTCTAGCGGATATTTAATGATATGCTCACTAATCTTATCCAAATCTGAGTAACCATAATCTTCAGTATAATCCAAGATTTGTTCAATTTCTTCGGGAGTAAAGAGCGATTCCAAATTAGCAACATCATTCTTGAGCAAAGAGAGTCTTTCATCCCTGTTTGGAAGTACTCAATAGATCCTTTCTATTAGGTGACGTCTAACCTGATTGTTCATTTCCCAAGGTTTTTCAGAAGTTCACACAATTGTTGGAACCAATACATGATCCGCATGTCGATAATTTAATCCAATTATAAATTCCACCATAGCTCTTTCTTGATATTCTCCTAAGTCTCTATTCAAGTTCTCAATATCTTTGAATAAAATGACTTTATTTTTCACCAGGCCAAATTTTAAAACAACTCTTGACACATTCTTCAAGTGTTTGTGAACTATCAGATCTGTCTAGCTCCCATTCGGCTTGAGTTTTAGGACATTTTATAACCATGAAGTTTGCCTCGGACTCTTGCGCTATCTTTCTGATAAGATTCTCTCTTCCAAAACCTCTAGGCCCATATAACAAAAATGCCTTTGAAGGAAATCTTGGAGCAACGAATAATTGGGGGAACTTAAATGGAAGTAGAATATTTTCCAATAAAACTTGTACTTCTTTATTGAGTTTTGAATATGACTGCCACATTGTTTTATCACTACTTTCAACCTTTTGAGAGATATTCCATACATCAATCTCTTCCTCATCCTCCCTTTCAGCATCAGTAGGACTTTCCTGTTCTAATTCCTTATCTTCTTCCATCTTATAAATATTATAACCAACTCCAATTAAAAAAATCAAATACGGGGTTTTGGGGTTTTGGGGTTTTGGGG